AGCAGTTGCCAACATTTGCGCTCTGTGAGTTTGTGTGTGTGTGTGTGGGGGGGGGTGGGGGGGTGGAACCCACAAACGTACAGTCGAGGAATCTCACTCGCTTCGCCCGGGCATGGAGAGGAGAAGGGAGCATGGCGTGGTGGTGAGACGCTAACTCAGCAGCTCACTTCACCTACGCGCCTCACAGCAGACATAAAATGCTCCGTATGGGGGGGGGGGGGGCTTGTTTGTTTCCCCCAAGGCCAGCAGCTGATTCAGCCACGACCCTCAGCGTCCCAGGTCAGCCGTTTTTCTGTGCATGAATATGGGAAGGACGTGTTGTCCAACACCTGTTTGTTACCGACCATATGTGGAGCCTTTGTGGCTGCGTGAGCGCTCATTTGGCCTCCTGGGGGGCCTCCTGCCTTCCCTCCACCACGGGCCCCTCAGAGGAACCTGCAGGGAGGCCAACGTCAGGTCACACGGAGGGTGCGGCCCTGCTCGCCCTCCGGAGTGAACAGAGAGCAAAGACAACGGCTTGGTTGCCCTTTCATCCGAGCCAAGGCTTGGTGGGGGGGTGTCGGGTTAGGCAACCTGTCAAGCGCCATGTCATCACAAGTTGTTTTTCTCCGACAGCACGCAGTCCTGACACTCAGTCACATTATGTTGTCCAAGCAGAAAGGATTCCTCTGAAGGCCCCGTTGAGGATCAGTGTCATGTTCTAGAACGCCGAGTGTTACACCGACAAGTCAACTAGCAAAGATCCAGCATTTTATAAATGTCTTTCAATTATTCAAACCATTCCAGCCGCGGTTCTCATTCTTCCCTTAGCAGATGGAGTTTGGTCAGTTGTCATGGAGATATTCAGCCACAGCAGAGCAAACATGAGGCCGATCATGGGGCGGAAGCTACAGAAAAGGCTTGTGAGGTAGAAAGTGAGTCAGGATTTGTTTGTCAAATGAATGTCAATGAATTGTTGAGCCATTGTGTACTTTTATTCCAGTAGATCAATTCGAGAAGTCGTCCTGGCTGGTTTGCCAAACCGAAGGCATACGGTGTTTGTTCTCATGGCGGTAGTTGTGGTTTTGGTTTGTGACTTCTTACATGTACTGGAAGCTCTTTTAGCCCCTGAACATTGTTTGTCCGTGCGTTTTGCACTTCTGTCAAATAGATTTTGCTTGTTTGCTTTGTCTGCAACTTGAATCTTGCTTGTTTGCAGAGGACATCCTGTAATCTATGAGACAGGAAGCGCACACAGACAGATAGACGGATAGGGCGGGGTGGGGGTTGTGGGACAGACGGCGATAGCAGGGAGTGGCACAAAGTGAAACTGGGGGGCGGGCCTAGATGGAAATGACAGATTGTGTCAAGAGGAGCAGCGTCATTCAGGTCGAGTACTCGGTGGCCTTTTGTTTTTGGGTGACTCCCATTTTCAACGCCACAACTCCTGAGTTTAACCTCAGACCAGAACTGGCCTTGAGATCAGGTTTTCAGAAGGCGGTCGCTCCGGAAACCGCTGGCTCGCTCGCGGGCCCCTTCTGGCGTCGCTCCAACAGAGCTCTACAAGAATAACCTTTCCTCCAAATCCGCCGCTCTCTTCCCTGCTTGCTACTCAAATTAAGTTGAGCTGGAAACAGAGATTCAACACGGATACGTTGGTCTGCCGTGTTTAGGACGGCCTCATATGTTTGCCGTTAGGCGCTGATCAGCTGTACAGAACTCTCTCTGAACTCATCGGTTTACTTAACAAACCCTTCTGATTTAAAAAAGGTACAACGCAACAAAGAGCCCCAGAGGGAACATGTCATGCACTCAGCAGCAGGATTTCACAATGTCCACAACTTGAGGGATGGTATTCTTCTCGTTACTAGAGCAGTGCTGGTGCAAAGATGTCATGGTGTTCCACAGCGTTCAGTTCATCTGCTGCATTGACCAGATATCACAATCATTGACATGTGTCATTTACTACTGTGCTATTGTGAGCTGTAGAACATTATACGTGGTTGTTAATCAGGTTTATCCTTCTGTTAATAACAGGGTATGTGATACCAATACTGTACTATCAATATCTTGTCCTGCTAAAACAAGAAGCGTACTAGGAACTTCAGTAGCATGATACAAACGTCTGGCCAACGTGTACGAGCTCAAGTCTCATATTTGATATTGTTCAAATGTGCTGCTCAGAGTATCTTGTGTAACTGTGAAAAACATCACTGCCATGCAGACAGAGGAAGTGTTTCAAAAGACACAGACAGTGTTTATCACTCCACCCATCCTGCCTCACACACACACACACACACACACACACACACACACACACACACACACACACACACACACACACACACAAGGGGCCCGGCATGGGGCCCTTCGGCAGCTGAGACGGGTCTGCCACTCTCACTATTTCCACACATGCTTCCACATGACTTGAGGCCCTGTGACCTTCCCATACTGGGGTCATTCCGAGCTGCCAAGTGTGAAGCAAAGGCCCCGAATGAGCATTTCACAGCGTCAAAGAGGCCGATATATCGATACTTTGATTACAGACACGAGCTTCACAAGTTGATCGGGGACCAACGGTGTGAATGTTGGTAAAAGGCCGATGTTCTCTCCCATAGCGGTGTCCTTCCTCCACAGCACGAGGCGCCATGTTGTCAGACGGTGCAGACTGGGTACGTCCTGGCGCACATCTCGGCTAATCGGGAAGCCTTATTTTAGAAGTGTGACATCCTGTCTGTGCAACCAGCGCCGTAAAGGGGGCGGATCTACGCACACGCGTGTTTTCTATGTGTCTTTGAAGTCTCTCATGTGTAGCAACCTGCTTATCGGGGCAGCGTTGTAAAGTTGAATGAAAGAGGCTGAGTGTGTGTGTGTGTGTGTGTGTGTGCGTGTGCGTGTGTGATAAAGCAGGCAGGGACATGCAGAGGAAGATATGGCGCTGTAAGGAGATAACGGGATCTAATTATAGTAAGATTACACTCCTTCCTTTGCACTGGATTACCTGAAGCCCACACGAGGGTCACGTTAAGCACAGGCGTCAAACAACGTACTCCAGCGATCCTCCCCCACCTTCGCCCGGGGGGCCGATCCGTGACCAACAGTATCCGCCGGTACGGTTCCTTCCAGTTGGACGTCCCTGAGCTCCTCTTCATGTCCGGGGACGCTTTTCATAAATGGTCTGCTTAATGTCCCGCTGTCCCACTGGCCCCCCTGGAGTGACTGGCACGTGGCACAGAGACTTTGCCCTGTAGGACATATCTCTTCATCTGTAGATAGTCCCCAGACGACCAGGCACAGTCAGCACATAGATCTCTTTATTAGAAGGACTGCTTATTGTGTTGTGATTGCGCTGGCAGCACGGCTCTGCTCGTGAATACGTCATCACTTGGCTCGTCCTCCACTTTGGTCCAGATTCAAATATTTGAGCCATTGATCCGCTTTGACAGCTAATATCGTGACCTGGAGGTGACGGAATAGAACGTTGTGGGTGGTTGAAGGCGCTGCAGGCGTTGGGAGTCACGGGCTCGTACGTCAGGTGGTGGAATGAGGACAGCTCTGATTAGCATAGCACGACACGCTGCCACCAGGGTCCCCGCCCACTGCCAAGGGCCACCTGGTGACAGCGCGCAGGAGGAGTGCGCGCAGGAGGAGTGAGCGCAGGAGGAGTGAGCGCAGGAGGAGTGAGCGCAGGAGGAGTGCGCGCAGGAGGAGTGCGCGCAGGAGAAGGGCGCGCAGGAGGAGTGCGCGCAGGAGGAGTGCGCGCAGGAGGAGTGCGCGCAGGAGAAGGGCGCGCAGGAGGAGTGCGCGCAGGAGGAGTGCGCGCAGGAGGAGTGCGCGCAGGAGAAGGGCGCGCAGGAGGAGTGCGCGCAGGAGGAGTGCGCGCAGGAGGAGTGCGCGCAGGAGGAGTGCGCGCAGGAGGAGTGCGCGCAGGAGGAGTGCGCGCAGGAGGAGTGCGCGCAGGAGTAGTGAGCGCAGGAGGAGTGAGCGCAGGAGGAGTGCGCGCAGGAGGAGTGAGCGCAGTAGGAGTGAGCGCAGGAGGAGTGCGTGCACTCCCCCTTATAAATGTGGTCTGACAGAGCCAGTCAGTAGGTGTGGGACGTCCACTGCAACACGTGAGCTCAGGAGCCGGAGGAACACGTAGGAAGAAGATCGACTTTGTTTCAGTAGTCGGTCAGAAATCATGTAGCTGCTCAGTGGAGCCAAATCTAGTATCTATTAAACTAATGCTTTTTGCGTGTCCTTTTAATCATTTGTAGTCCTTCTTAGCTTAGCTTGGTGGTGCTTTAAGTTAACTTCAAAACCATGTAGTGGTTTTCATTTGTGAAGACCTTTCTCAACAAGCAGAACTATTATTTAATGCAATAATTCAAAAATAAATCAGAAATCCCTTTTTGAGTGATGCTGACTTCCTGGTCACCCTGCAGCACTCTTTATCTCCTGGTTTGTGTGTGTGTGCGTGTGTGTGTGTGTGTGTGTGTGCGCGTGGCAGCCAGTGACAGCCACGGCTTGGAGAGGCTGAGGTCATCGCTAAGGACCCGGGAGACAAACCCCTACTTGTTGGTGTGCGTGTCTGTGTGCGACAGACACAACTACTGCCACAGTCACCTCCAGCGTCCTCTGGGCTCCTCATGTACCTGTTGGGTTGTGTGTAAAAAAAACACCAGCATGAAAGCACCTCATCAGACACACACACACACGTGCACACACACGGGCACACACACACACACACACACGCGCACATGCACACGTGCACACACACACATGCACACACACACGCGCGCGGGTGCATCCACTGACACTGCAGTGAGACAGCCCTTAGCCACTTGTTAAGTGGACATCACTGTGTTGGTTGATTTTCCTGTAACTGTTTGTCGTCCTCCTCATGCGTCCAAATGTGTGGACATTTTGTCTTTGGTAGAACACAATGGTGACGATTCCAACATGTCTCCCTGATTGAAATGCAAACGGATCTCATCCTCCTGCCTTTTTAAAACGTAAAACTGGTCCTGCTTCTCCTCCAGGCCTCCGATCCCGTCCTGATGAAAAAGTCCAAATACGACGACTTCCCATCGCCAGCCGTGCTGGTGGACAAAGAGAAGCAGCACGACTGGCTCCAGTCCCTGTCCGCCTCCAATAAGGTGGGTGTTGCTCAGCTCGGGGGGACGATGGTGAAGACAAGGATGATGCACAGCGCACAAGATGAGGTGTCATGAAATATGATACAGAAGGATGAGGGTAGTAGGGGGGACTGAAGACGCCTCGCTGAGACGGACAGAGGACACAGTGTGATGGATGTCCGCTGTGAAGATCAATATTCCCTAAAACGGTGTAGATGTGGTTCCAAGGAGCGCCGCTCAGAATGTCTTAACCTCTTAATCTCCATAATATACTCGGCCCCTTTCAATCAATGGACACGTCTCCAATAAGGGACTATTTATCATAAATGATCCCCGGAAATATTCCAGTGTGTCATTTTGATTCTCCAGACTGTACCCAATGTAGAATGTAGAGTTCGACCTTCTCAGGCTGTTTGGATCAGACATGAAGTTAAATCAAATATATGGAGATGATTTGGTTTCAAACCCTTGTTCTTTCCTCTACGGTCCCCAAAAAGGTAAAATCCTAAATGTTGCATTGGATTCGCAATATTGTTTTTTATATCTAAGGTGTCTCTTAAGTTAACAGTTGGCATCTTATTGTAAGAAGAAACTAAAGCAACACATGTTATTATCTGTCTCTTTTTCAGGGGCCCAACTGCATCCAGCCCAGACAGAGGCCCTCGGCCTTCAGACCCTGGTCCCCCCACGTCTCCGCCGGGGACAAGGAACCGTCCAGTCACCCGCTGGCCCTGCTGAGAGACAGGTGAGCCAGCGCGGCGCACAGGGGACAGAGCACCGTTTGGACTTGATAGAAGCCGTTTTGTTCAGCTGGATCCAATGAGCTCCCAGCATGCTCTCTGGTCTGGGTGGAGGGTGTCACAGGGGTCAAGTCTGACTACCACCGCCTCCCACACAGCACCATTCACACACACTTGGCACCGGTTCACTTGATCCGCCCAGCGTGTCACAGAGCTGCTGGCTCGGTGGTTCTCCTCTCTGATTGGCTCAGGTCGCTCCAATCACAGCGTACATGTGGTGCTGCCACCACGCAGCAACCGTGGTTCATCCTGTCGTACATAACAACCACGGGACATTCACTCCCGATCTCTGCTGTCATTTCAGCTTCTACAACTACAGGAGTCTGGAGAAAGCTGTGGCCCCCAACGTGGCCCTGGAACCACTGGCCCTGGGGAAGGTGGCCCCCGTGTCGCCGTCGGTACCCAGCACCTCCCACCCAAGTGAGGGCGCCAACCCCAAGCCCCACAAGAGGAGAGCCTCAGCAGAGCTACCGGCCCCCGGCCCCCCGTCCTCCGCTGCCAGCAAGCCGGCGGGCGACGGGGACTCGGAGGTGGAGGTGGAGGTGGAGAGCCGCGACGAATGTAAGCAAAGGACTTAAAGCGCCACCGAGCTGTTGGCGACGGGTCAGATAACTGCTTCCTCACCGCTCTCTCTCTCCCTGGTGTCCCCAACAGTCACTTCGTCCCTGTCCTCTCTGTCGTCGCCGTCCTTCACCTCCTCCAGCAGCTCGGCCAAGGACCTGAGCTCGCCGGGCGCCCAGGGGCCCGTCTGCGGTGCCACGTCGGACGAGGCCGCCACGCCGACGGGCGCCCTCTCCTTAGTCCCCCGCGCCCCCGTTAGAATTGGGGCTGGAGTCTAACTGGAGAGCCCTGAAGCAGGCGCTGGACAGCGGATTGGACTCCAAAAGAGTGAAGGAGAAGGTTTCTGCACGAGATCGTTAAGATGAGGGTGCAAGCAGGAGGAAAAGTTGGGATCGGCCCTGCAGGCCAAACGCAGCCTCCAGCAGGTAGCGCTCCGCTCACATGCACCGTGCACCAGAGATATGCTTGTTCCTCATCCTCTGCCTTCATAAATGACGTGCTAGCTAAACAGAACTGAGATGTGTTGAGCTTAGCACAAAGACCCCAATGGCCCCTCCAACAAGAGGCAGAGTCACAGAGCCGCAGAGTCACAGAGCCGCAGAGTCACAGAGCTACAGTCACAGAGCTACAGAGTCGCAGAGTCACAGAGCTGCAGTCACAGAGCTACAGAGCTGCAGAGTCACAGAGCTGCAGAGTCACAGAGCTACAGAGTCACAGAGCTACAGAGTCACAGAGCTGCAGAGTCACAGAGCTGCAGAGTCACAGAGCTACAGTCACAGAGCTACAGAGTCGCAGAGTCACAGAGCTGCAGTCACAGAGCTACAGAGCTGCAGAGTCACAGAGCTACAGAGCTGCAGAGTCACAGAGCTGCAGAGTCACAGAGCTGCAGAGCTGCAGAGTCACAGAGCTGCAGAGCTACAAAGTCACAGAGCTACAGAGTCACAGAGCTGCAGAGTCGCAGAGCTACAGAGCTGCAGAGTCACAGAGCTGCAGAGTCACAGAGCCGCAGAGCAGCTGTTGAATGGCTTCAACCTCTGAACCAACTGCTTTGACATTTTATTTAAAAAGGGGACCTTTAGTGAGGCATTCACATACATCTCTGCAAATCAACAGATATGAAGACTATTCCAATTGGAAAGAAAATGTTGTGCTCAGGTGGCATTTTAGATGTTGAAGGGAAAGAATTCATTACCTATTCCCTATATATTCCAGTCACTCTCCCTTCAACACTTAACTTGGATTAACTTGACTTTGGGATCTTTATTTCATTTCATCTTTAGCTGACTTCAAGCCCTGAAACCTGACTTGCATTGGCCTCTAACCTTTTCAACACAGCTCTCTCCAGAAAGCTGTGAGGGGATTTGAATGCATCTTAAATGTTCATACTGGAGCAAGCTGCCCCCCCCCCTCCCCACGCCCCCCTCTGTCATTCAGGGGCTCTCATATCGCCTGCTGTGCTATTTATACTGTACACAGCATGTGACCTGATGGTGGTGGACGCACCGGGCTCTGCAGCCCTCCCACTTTAGGCTCCTTCCGTCCTTCTTGAAATTAATTGAGACAGAAAGTTTCAAAGTTGACAAACCAAGGAAATGATTTTAGCTTAGGCATCAAAATGCAGAAGTGGTATTGAAAGTCATAATTACCGTCAGCAAAGCTCAGCATGAGTTGGCAAGTGATAACAATGAGAGCGGATGTTGCTGCAAAGGAAAAGGCCAGACTTCCATTTTTATTTATGGTCTCTGAGCGAGAACAGGAAATGCAGACGAAGGAGTCTGCGGGTGAATGAATGCGTCCTGAGCAGAGAAAAGGCCATTCCCCTTTTCCACAGAGCTGCAGGCACCAGCACCCCCCCTGCTGAGCTTAGATGAACTCCCCCTGATGCTGCTGAAGGAGTGATGGGTGTGTTTGTTGTAGGAACAACAAAGCTGGCTAACAGACCTGTTTGTACTGCTCAGTCAAGGCACACACACACACACACACACACCTTCTCCCAGTGGTTGAGAGGAAGGAAGCTGTGTTCTGCCCGACGTGGCTCGGTGAAACCCTGACAGGGACTCGGCTCCCAGCAGAACCTCCGGTGCTGATGGTCGTGTGAAATGTTCTCCTCCCAGGAGCTGGAGTTCTTGCGGGTGGCCAAGAAGGAGAAGCTGCGGGAGGCCACCGAGGCCAAGCGCAACCTGAGGAAGGAAATCGAGCGTCTGCGGGGCGACAGCGAGAAGAAGATGAAGGAAGCCAACGAGTCGCGGCTCCGCCTGAAGCGCGAGCTGGAGCAGGCGCGGCAGCTCCGAGTGTGCGATAAAGGCTGCGAGGCCGGGCGCCTTCGAGCAAAGTACTCGGCACAGGTCAGTGAGGGACACATTGTGAGGAGGACATGAGGCTGTAGATCGGCGTGAGACACTGTCTCAGACGCTCCAGCTCAGCAGAAAACAAACACGTTTCCTCTTCCCAAGTCAGAAATAAATGGGTGTAACCTCAAGTGTACAGGCGGAGGATACACCCCCCCGAAGAAAACAGGAAGAGACGGTGACTTCCCGCAGGCATCAAGGGAAATGCAGATTAGACAAAACAAGAGGGAGCTTAAGCTCTCAGACGTGCCTCCTCTGCAGAGACGCGTCATTAAGACGTTGACTGTGGCCCTGAGGGGCCCTCAGGAGTCAACGTGAGCAAAAAAAATGAGGTGACATTTTCAAATTAGCATCAGGTTGCTGAAGCTAAAGGTTTGCTCTGCAGCTGGGGGCGGGACCCTAATGTCCCCCAAAGAAGCTGCTTTAATAGCACATTATCTATTGCAGAATCAACACAGCCTCAACATATAAAAGGCCTCCTGAATAATTAGGAGAAAGGCCTCTCCTCCTGCTGGTAACTGCTTTTATTATTCACTCCAGCTAGTTTGGTATCAGCATAGAAAAAAAGGGCTTTAATAGACTGCTGAGAGGCACCAGCATGTACTGGCAGGGCAGCTCCCCACCTCTCTCCACCATTCTTTGATCATTTAATAAAATCCTGAAATTCAATCAATTTGAATGCATCCAGTGTCTCGTTTCATGCATTAAACAGCTTTGTTTAAGCCTAACTAGCACATGTTTGCAGCCCTGCTTTCTGCAGCTTTTCTCTGCTGCACGTCTTCAGCGGGAGGCCCCTGCACCCGCGGGTGGAGGCTGCAGAGCCCGGCTGAGGCAGCCGTCCTCCTCCTCCACCCTAGTTCTGAACACGGCGTGTAGAGTCCGCTAATGCGGCAGAAGAGCGTATAAACATGCATTTAGTGAACAGCTCAGTTAAGAAGAGGATGCTCGGGGTCCCGTCACACTGCCCCATCGTCACATCTGCTTCTGCCGTGTGTTTTCCAGATCGAGGACCTCCAGCTGAAGCTGCAGCACGCCGAGGCGGACCGCGAGCAGCTCCGAGCCGACCTGCTGCATGAGCGGGAGGCCAGGGAGCACCTGGAGAGGATGGTGAAGGAGCTACAGCATCAGCTCTGGCCCAAATGCAACATTGACAAGGAGGAAACGCCGGCTGAAAAGTAATCCAGCCAACCTCCCCCCCCCCACCCCCGCCCCCTCCCTAACATCACCCGCCAGGTCAGACGGTGAACACCGGCCACGTCGCACTGCCGTCCGTCACGCTCGCCCTCCACCATGCACCGACGACACAGACACAGAGAGAAGACACCACGACTTAAATCAAACACTGACCACCAAAGGAAAGCGACACAACGCGTGCTGCCGCCACGGGGAGAGACTTCTGGGACGCTAAATCCTCAGAGAGGATCACATCACGTCACCGTCCAGCGCCATGACGGAGCGGGTGGAGGTTTCTGAAGACGTTCTAAACTATCTAAGAGACTACTCGGGGAATGTAAGGGCAGTTTCTTTCTCTCACTGTGCTATTGAGGTTTGAAAGAGATAGTAGATGGACAGAACGGGTCTTTTTTCAGGACCGTCCACAGTTCAAAGTTCAAGCCACCCGTCTTCTCCTCCCATTGTTATTTTCTTGATTGAAAAGTCTGAGTCAAACACCTGATGGATATTTGAAGCATTTGGGTCAAAACCCTGAAGTTTGTATCTTGAAAAGATGCAAAATCCAGAAGTGATGAAAGTCGGCTTGTTTTTTTACTCCAACTGAATCCGACGGCGTCCTCCATGACATCGTGGTGGGCTGGATGGGCAAAACCCACAAAATGTTCATTTGAATTAAATTAAGTTGTATGTAAATATACATGTATGTTGTTGTTTTGTTTCTTTTGACTTTACAAGAATGAATCGCACTTTGTCATAACGAGATACTGTTCTAATGCGTTGTGCTCCCACTATTGTCTTCAATCGGCTGCGACCATATAAACGTAAGCGTTTGTGCTTCTATGCACCTCCAACAAACACCGTTCTGTTTGCTTAAAGGCAACGTCTTGTAAATAAACGGGAGGGAAAAGAGGCTCGGCCTGTTGCTCGCTGATGCAAAGGTTCTCCCGCTTCTTTAATATCATTTACACAAATGTTGTTCAGGCACTCGGTTACAACAATTTGACACAACGCGATGAACAGCATGCGTCCGTCAGGGGAACTTTATCCGAAGCAGAGGCCAAGAATCTGCCCCCAGTGGGTACAATGCAACCAGAATGTACATTGTGTTGAATGCTACGTTTCCTTTTTGATGTTCTTTTAAAACTTGCTTGTCTATTATGCTTTTTTCCCAATGGAAACTCATATTGTCTCCATGCATGAGTTTTCCATACATATAGTCAATTATTGGGCATTGATGCTGTATATGTAAAGGTTTTATTGTGTTATGCAATTTATAATAATTTGTCTTATCATGAAGAGGGAAAAGGTAATAAAACACACACACATTGTTCTAAAAAGACTAAACAATTCAATAATTCATGCTGGAAAACCTCAAGTGCCTGGAGGTGGGCGGAAGGTTTCCAGGGGAGCGAAGCTGTCAGGGCCTCTCATCAACTTCCTGTTTGCAGGTTTCAAATTAAAAGCCCCTCCCTCGCTCAGCAGCTCTTTTTATCAGTATTCTTAAAAGAAAAACAGTTGAAAGTGGTTTTCCCTGAATGAGTGTTTTATTTTCTTCATTTGAAATCAAAGATATGCATGTTGAGTTTTCTAGAAGATTTGAAGAAGCCACGTGTTTGGGCGGATTGTTACTTTGGGTTGTATATAGAGGCTGTCGGGGTAACGGGGCATTACGCTGAAAGCCCTTTTCTTACCTGGCGCCATCGCGCAGGTGGACTCGCGTCTGCGACTTTGGCAGAACGCAAATTGATACATTTTGTAATTGTTTTTACACTCAAAGGGGTTTCTAGCCTGTGTGTAGTTTACTTTACTCCTGGTTTTCTACAAGGACTTTATCTCTTCACTCCCACGCAGAAGCTAAAAGCAGTTTAACAGCGACTTGTTTTCTAGAGGAGAAGCATTTGCTAAACAACGGACAGTAAGGCAGCAATAACGGTCCATGTGAATAGATGAGTAACTTGCCAGTGTGACCATTTCAATAACAATTTACAAATGTAAATATCTTTTTTCATTTACAAAATTGTATAATATATGTACATGGTGTTTCCTTTTTCAAAAAAATCTTTTCTTACCATAGCTGTCTGTTTTTTTAATGGTTTTTGTGTTTTAACTGAACAGCAGTGCGTAAGAGAATATTCCCTACATACACATTTTAAGCCATTTTTTTTTTTTACTGTAGTCTTTATATTGAATGACTTTTTTTCACCAGTTCATATATATTTTTAACAGTATGTTCAGTATCAAATAGCAGGACGACCATATGAGTCCCAGAACTACGTCACCTTGCAGATTGTTTCCCCTCCACCCTCGTGTATCTTTTAGCCCTGTGCTGCTGCTAATACTCTACAAACCTTACAATTCTAGAACTATTTTTATGTAAGAGGTAAATGTAAGCTTCCCCATTCATTAATGCCACATTTACAGAATGAACAAACCTTCATCTACATCCTTGTTTCCCATCTTTTTACGCCTTTTCCTTCAGCGACACCTCCCTCTTCTCTCTCGACACGGACTATATTGTAAAGTAAAGGACTTTATGAGATTACGTTTGAAGATAGCTATGCTTATATACTACAGTGACTGAATGTACAGTGTATAGATGCATTACCAGAAATAAAGTTCTTTGTCCAGATTGAATGATCCTATTTCCTGTTTGTGCTGCTGGTGTCACTGACTTGTTCAGCTGGATATTCGCCGACCGTGGAAACAGGTACAAACTACAAGTGCATTGATTTTGAGATCTCGGAGGGACAAACTGATTCAAGACCAGACACGTTCATCATTTATTATTACAAGTTGAAAAACTTCTGGCACATACTTCATTATTTGGATGATTATTGGAGATTTAAAACATACAAATATGGCAAAATAAGATAAAGGAAACACGTTTCCAAGACGTTTTCTTGTGCTTCTCAGGCTTGAATCGCTAATTACAGCATTCAAACAAGAAGCAGACAAATACAAAACAAAAGCAAGAACACACTAAACTATCTGCTGACGCACAAGTAACACATTCAACCCCTTTCGGCTGAAGCCGAGTTGCTTCAGTGAAGTGCAGAGGCCACGTTTCCGCAGGCTCATCCGCTTCATGTACACACACATGGTTTTAGGCCACAAGAAACCTCCATAATTACTATGGAACCGTAAAAAGGAAAAGATGAGCTGCAAACACTTAACTGGAAAGGAATGTGCTCGAGGTCTGAAGTGAACGCCCACTTGGCCTGACAGCATTCGATGAAAACAGTCATTAGTGTGGACACACAGTACAGATGTATAGTATCCAGTGCAGAGAAGCACACTTGATTTCTGGGCTGGTTAACATTTTACCCGCTGCTGTTCCAAAACAATGACTAAATAAGTTGCAGTCACAGATATTTTCTGGTGAATTTGTAAATAACGAAAGGATGCTTGAAACCAGAAGATAACAGAAGGGACTAAACGGCATCACCCAGGCCAACGCGCCGTAGACCTATTTGACCTTTGTTTTCAGCCTTTACCAATGCCAGTTGCGTAACAAGTGTAGTTATTCGAGGTTACATAACACTTATTGGAATGATGATTTTGGCCCATAAGTAGTTTTGTGCACAAACGTAGCCACTACATTGGACGTTTGCTTGGAAAAGCGACTGCATTCATTACATCACATGTCATTTAGCGGACGCTTTTATCCAAAGCGACGTACAATAAGTGCATTCAACCATAGGGTACAAACTCAGGAGAACAAGAAACAACAAAGTGCAATTTCCTCAAATAAGCCAATTTACAATTTGCTATAGATGAGTGACGTTACAAGTACAATGTAAGTGCTACAGTTAGTTAGTGTGTTAGTGGAGGTAGAGTCTGAAGAGGTGTGTCTTTAGTCTGAAGATGTGAAGGCTCTCTGCGGTCCTGATGTCTTCAGAGAGCTCGTTCCACCATTTCGGCGCAAGGACAGCGAAGAGTCGAGACCTAGTCGAGTGTTTTGCTCTCAGTGAGGGAGGGACGAGTAGTAACGAGTCAACGAGATCGAAGGCATGATGCTTGGAAAAACGAACCTGACGCCTCCAAAACTCTCCCAGCCCTTTTCTTACTACCATGGACCCAGAGAGCAAGTGCTCTAGTGCGCCTCCCAGCCAGTCTGACCCCGGCTGACCTTCCGCTGATAGTACATCCCAGGGTTTGTACTAGGAAGTTGGTTTGCTAAAAAGCGAACATCCTCTTCTTTACTGCCGCGTCTATCCTGGTCATAAACCAAAGGATTGGACTTGAGGATTACGATGTGAAACATCAGCGAATCACTGAGGTCACTTGGATTCTTCCTCTGGAAACCACGAATGCTCAAACAAACGTCCATCTTCCCGGGGAAACGTTGGCCAGCTGGTTGGCTGGATGAAATGTATGGAGATGTAAGTACATCTCCTCTGGGGAATGAGAAAGTCGATACAATCTGACAACCCACGCATTGAAAACCTCATTATAGGTTCTTTAGAACAAACGCGAAGCTGATTCACATCCAGTTATTCACATGAATGTTGCAGTGTTTTGCAGACGCCCAAAGTATTGATCGTAGACATCATTTCTGCACAAGCCCAAGTTCAGATAGAAAGCCTGTGTGTACTTCAGACTAATACCTCCAAAGGTGAGACCTAAAGCTACTTATCTACTCCTGACCTTTATGTTGCCAACTAACCCGTTGGACACACGCTCTTCTTTCCCTTTTTCCACTCAACATACTGTATCTACTTGCAATTTGAGACATCCAGTAGACAATTACCACAGTCGGAGACATTTTATGACCTTTTGATGCAAAGTGGGAAAGAAACTGTTTTGTTTTAAATCTGACACGCGGATGTGAAAAGTATAATTTGGTCTTAACACTCTTGGCAGTAAACTGCTGACCTGTAAAATCACAACCAAAATAGAATACAGCTGTTTGACCAAACTGCAGTTGGAGCAAATGAAGCCAGACATACTGGCCACAATGACAGCATCCAAAGCCATGGAAGCGTATTGCTCCGAATGTGGATCAACAACCACACGCTCGCGGCCACTTACTTGCAAAAAAAAAAGGCAATGCAGATTGACACTGATCTCAGATGAAGCGCTCGTGAAGAACAGATGAACAAATGGCTCTATGAAGGGGGGCGAATCATCGGCATGAACAGCTGAACAGCACCAAGACTCATTTTGTTCTCCACGTAGTGAGCAGCCACTGGGCCCGATGGAGGCTGTAGTGGGCCATGACGTCGATGTCTCTCGGCTCCTCTAAACCGGCAGCAGCTGACTGACCCAAATACAGCCGTCACATGACGAGCAACACCCCAGTTAGCTCATTATCTCTGTAGCTCGTCAGCCCCGCTCTGCCTCCAAGTGTCCCGGTGTCATTTAGCAGTGTGAGGATGTTTTTTATTCTCATGAAGGGTGGGACGAGTGTTCTGAGATGTGCTGGCATTTATTGTGAAATTAGAAAGATTCAAGTTATTACGTGAACAGAACCATTCATGACTTTGTATTGCTACAGTCAATGTAAACGGTTGGGGAAACAAGACGATATTTCTTTGTCCACATGAGATTTGATACTTTAAATTAATGCTTTGAGTTCAACCATTGACATTAAACGTTTATTGTAAAAGTGCAATAATCCCGGGGTGACTGGTTTTTCACATGGGACACGGACAACAGTCTCCTGGGTGTCCTGTGTTTGTTTGACCCAAACTGTAGATCTTATATCTCAGCATTCGAAATACTATCATTAGAAAAACATTTTTTATATGTCGATCCAGGAAAAATATTTTCCGCCAAAATGTGAGACCATGCAGCTTTGTTGTATGGAACGTCATTTCTATAGGGGACCACGCTGAAGACCCCTTTTACACTTCATCACCTTGTGTCCCTCACACACCCACCTGTCGCTTTGGTTGAACTCTGATGAACCGTTTGTTCACCTGTCAAACGTGGTGCTACGTAGCAACGTTTGAAAGCAACAGAGGGAACCACTCCGAGGATGTAGGGGTGGTGTTGTGGTCAGCACTGTTGCCTCACAGCAAGAAGGTTGTGGGTTCAACTCTGCCCAGCGGCTTTTCTGCATGTTCTTCCAATGTTCTCCGGCTTCCTCCCAAAGACATGCTGTGGGTGTCAAGTGTCTCACTTTTGTGAGGTTCAAACTGCAGCTCCCCACTTGAAAGGGCAACTTGCTAAGAAGTGCAGACTGGATTCCACTCAATGACCAAGATTCAGTCTTCCTGCTTTCTTGCTTTTATCTTTAAAATTGTCCAGGTCAAACCAGGTGAAAAGGTCAAAGAAAAATAACCCAAGAAACCATAATTAATTCACATACCCAACATCACATACTTCATTTATAATCGACTGGAAATTAACCTCAAAATAAGTAGAAAAAAAAGCCATATTTAAAGTATCCCAAAATACATTTTTAGAACACTATTTAATGATGATTTTAACTTTACAAACTTTAGCAGCTTTTAACTCCGGTGAATACACAAATCAATTTTATCCAATTACTTTTAGCTTGAATACTTTTTAAAACACACATTTCATTAAACATATAACATTTTATCTTGCATTTGATGCCATAATTAGTCGTCCACTCAAAAGCTCACCGGCTCCTTCTTCAGTCTTTGCAAGCTTTATTCCAGAAGTTCTTCCCCATCCTGTGAGTGAGTGCCTCCAACCCACCCTGATCTCCAGGGGCCTCATTTATAAAACCTTGCGTATGATTTGCTCCAGAAGTGTCGTACGGATGAAACGTAGGACGTGCGGACGCACAGAAATATTCAGACTTATAAAACGTCCTACGCAGTTTTCCCTTAATAAATCACAATCACTTCTAAATGCAGCGCAGCTTTTGCGGCTTCATGTCACGCCCACAGCTGCCCATATATAGTCTGTGGAACGCCCACAAATGAATATTCATCGATTGCGAAATCATGACAAACACTGAGAGGAAAACGAAGAGACGTAATTTCACTCAGTGAAGTTACGTCTCTTCCAACAAGGCACCTGAGGGGCAAAAGGTTGCAGAGCAACGGTGCAGCCTCACGACCTCAGACCCAAATAAAGAAAAACTGGTCTGACATCAAAGTGGATGCAAAAAAGCTCCATCTCCACCTGGTGCATTCAATCCTCCGCCTCCAGCCTGGGAGACACACCTACAGCTGCCTCTCAGCCAGAGAGGGCTCGGCCTGCAGCTCTGCCCAACAGTGGGGATCAGGTTAGGTTGAGGTTATCTGTAGGTGTGTGGGTTCTTTGTCTCTGTGTTAGTTCATCCGTTCGACCACTCGATGGTGTGCATGTGAGTTAGAGCTTTGAAGCTCTAACTCACGCTTCATGTGTGTCACCGCCTTCTGCTTTACATGACGCCACAAAAAGCATCAGGAATTGCCAAGACATTTGTGACGTAGACCCTCAAGTGGAAAGAAAATCTTTATCTGAAGACCAGACACTTGAAATAACAAATGGGGCCTTGTGTTGGGACTGTATCTTGTTTTAATGCTTTTGTTATCCTACTTAATATAATCCTGTATACTCTGAAATATCCATCCATCCATTGTCAAACCGCTTATCCTGCACACAGGGTCGCGGGGGGGCTGGAGTCCATCCCAGCCAACTTCGGGCGATAGACAGGGTACACCCTGGATTGG